CCGGTGCCGCTCTGCCCGGCAGCTCCCGGGAGCCAATCCCCCTCTTCTGTGCCCTCCCTCAGAAAATCCGGGCGGTTTACGACTCCAACCCCGCCAAGTTTAAAACGCTGCAGAACATCCTGGAGGTGGAGAAGGAGATGCACGGCTCAGCCTGGCCCAAGATCGGTGCGACGCTGGCACTGATGTGGTTGAAAAGGTGATAATGGGGGGGAGGGAGCTGCTCCGGGCTGTGTCCCAGAGTGTGGGGATCCCCCTGAACACTGGCCTGAGTTTGCTGAGTAGAACGTGGGTCTGGCTGGTCCCTTGGGCTGGGGCAGCGTGGGGTGCTTGCTGCAAGAGCAGGAACACACAGCGACAGGCATCAGGGGTGGGATTGTGCCAGGCTCAAGGAGTCCCTTGCTGGAAGCCAGGAAGCAGCATCCCCATCCCCACCCCGACCTCTCCTCTCTTCTCCCAGGGGCCTGAAGTTCATGCTGGTGTTGCTGCAGAGCATCTCTGACGGTGAGAGGGATGAGGAGCATCCGAACCTCATCCGGGTGAATGCCATGAAGGCTTATGAGATAGCACTGAAGAGGTACCACGGCTGGAGAAAGGGACGAGGAGCATCCAAACCTCATCCGGGTGAACGCCATGAAGGCTTATGAGATAGCACTGAAGAGGTACCACGGCTGGATGCTGCAGAAGCTCTTCACGGTGAGGGCTCCCATCCCCCCGGGGGAAACCAGCTTTTCTTTAAGCCCAGCTGCTCTGAGAAGTGTCGAGTTTTAAGGGAATATGAGTTTGGAAACGTGAGAAGCTGCTGATCTGTTTTGAGCAGTATTTCCAGGGGACACTCTCTCTTTCTCTGGGGATCCAACCCAAGGGATGCTGTGGAGTCTCCAGATGCTTGGAATCACACGGGAATAACCCAAGCTGGGGGCCTGCATGTGGAACAGGAAGGATTTGTGAGCCTTAAACCTTCTTCCCTTGTTTTATAGGGCTCGATCTACGCTCTTAAAAAAACCTTACAAATCAGATCTGCTGAAGGCGTTGGAGAAGGGTAAAGAAGTCAAAGAGGAGGAAAGCATCGAGAAAATTCATCAGTTCCTCTCCAGGGTCACCCCCATCCTGGATGCAATTTATGAGATGTACACAAAGATGAACGCCGAGCTGAGCTACAAAGCCTAAAGGTCGCACGGACTGGCAGGGCTTCAAAGAAGGTGTGACGGGTGCTACTGGTTCTTAATCACTGAGGCAGCTCGGGCGGCTCCCGCCTGCCAGGCAGCTTGATTCTCGTCTGGCTCTGCAGTGGGTAACCCGCTTTCCAAGTAAAACAGCTAATTTTCTATTGAGAACACGGCAATAAAACGCTCACCCCCCGTGTCGGCAGAGGGTTTCCCAAGCTGGGGACAGGAGCGTCCCCAGCCCTCGCCACCGGGTTTTCCGCCGGGTTTCCGCCGGGCACGGCGCGGGGAGTGACGCTGGCTGGCGGCGACGATGCTCTCACACCGCCCCCGACGGGCACCCGGGTGGTGCCCGGGGCG